AAACAAATTATATCCCTTTAATGGACAATTTCCATGAAAAATAAAGTCGAATGAACATCAAAAAATCCAAAATTTCAATATTTTTCAGGTGGAAAATTATATCAATCAAACACAATTAATTGACAATTTCCAGTAAAACAAGTTTTGGGCAATTCAATTCCCTTGAATTTATTTTCTTTCCACCCAAATTCCATTCTCGTAATCAAACGAACCTTATATGAAACTATGAATTTAGATAAGTATAAAAAATATCGAATAATTTTGTGACGTCAAACTTACAAATAAGATATTATTTTACTCCATGTAATTAAAGTCAATCGAAACTTTTTGAAGTAGATTATATATTTGTACGAGTTTTGTAAATGGTATTAAATGGAATTAATTTATATTGCTTGCTCATGGAATTAATAATGCTAGGTTTGTGATCAGATAAATGTCTATTTCTATGTGTTGAGGAATACAGTTGCTCGATCTTCTATGCAACCTATCTGACTAACAAATGCAAGGATGTGTTCTAAATAAGAGCATCAATCTCCCCATTAATACCAATTGATAGGTCCATAAGTTTTGCACTTGTACAGGACAAAAAGGGTAACTTGAGCTTACTCAAGCCAAGTTTCTTACCTTTTATAGTGATCTATGTTCTCTGCACAGAATTTATGCGGAGGTTTCCAAATTGAGGAGAAAACTTGATGAGTTGAAATCATCAAATAATCATATTGGGGATGGTCATGAAACAAACATTCAAGATAATGCAATTTCGAGACATTGGTTCTCGTGGAAAGGAATCGATATCCAATTCCGCTAACGGTTGAGGACTAGAACTAGCTTTAGTTTTTGAGGTGGTATATTGGTTGGCACTTGGTATCAAACGCTCGGTGGACAGTATCTATTATGTTATTTTTTAATATCAAAAGAAATATTTTGCGGTGGGTTGTAATTAATTAATGTAGAGAGATGTTTCGAAAATAGACAAAATTGAGCAAGTTTTAACGCATAATCAAGAGTTTAGAAAAAGAAGATAACTGATAAGTTTAGATAAAATGAAGTAGAAAAATTGATGCGGTACAAAGAGAAGAACATTGATAATGATTGGTAAGTGGTATAAAGAGAAAAACATTGGTTATAATTGTAGAATCTACATGTAAGTAATTAATATATCAGATTCAATTTATCAAAACGTGGGAATACCAAATAAATACATAGCCATCGAAATCACTAATCTAATGGGTTTGATTTGAGGTAAACTTCATCCTTTTTTTCTTTAGATTTTGGACTACTGTTCTTTTCTTCGTTTTGTTGATTTATTGGCCGGTAGGTTATTATAGTTCACCAATCCTGACCATTTTTTATCTAAGCTGAAGACGACCTTCAATTTTTTCTATAATAAAAGACATTTTGGTAGTGTTTTTTGAAAAACCTTTTAATTCTCAAAAATTCAAAATTTACAATCTTGATTCTTCTTTAGTTTTAATTTTTGCCTTGCGTGGTTGGTTGGTGGATGTGTGAAAAATGAATGATAATGGTCCATAATTCTTAAATCTTGGTTAAATGGCATTATATCGTCCAGAGACTCTGTGTTTAGTTATAACTATTGCGTGTTAACTTTGCTGCATCAATGGCATCTAGATAAATGGACTAACAAACCTACACAGCTTGGGAAGGTTAAGCAGAAATTTCAGCAAATTCAAGAAGCCTATTCAGGTGACATTTTCTTTTCAAGCATTTTTCTTTTTTGTTGAAGTAATTATTCTTCGATTTGTTCATTATTGTTGATTAAGAAAGATATGTTTAACGCTGATTGAATGTTATTTGGCTAAAAACAATGTTATCAGATCATAGCATGAGGACAATGCTGGAGTATATGATCCTGAAGACTAGGAAGTCGAAGTAGGTGTTTGTTTAGTATGTCCGGAATTGAATTATTAGCGTATTTTGGAGAGATTATTTTTTACTACAGTATGTTAATTTTATCCTCTGTATGGGAATTTGCTGATTTTCTTGAACAAATGATGTCCCTTATGAATGATGTGACGAAAGAGGCATGGATATGACGAGCATTTTTAAACACCATTTTCTTGAATTCTCTCTCTCTCTCTCTTAATGTTGAAACCATCAATCTGAAACCTTTGACTTGGCCTTTGTTTAGCTATGTTTTAAATGATTTGTTTGGAGAATGTTTATAATAATTCTCTGTTTCTCGGTGAAGATCTACTAATAGTTCTTTCTTTCAAGTTTTGCCATTTTTCGGTAATTGAGTTTGTGGTACTTCTGTAACTTGTTGAATACTGCTTCCATTCTTGATATGGTTTACATTGTCATCGAGATCCAATTGCTTTTCTATATGAACTAAACATGTCATGAATTACGCATATGCTATGAAACTAATTTAATCTTTATTGAAACTCAAAATAATGTATATATAGCGGTTGATCCGATAGTGTGATTGGAGAAAAGACATAGCAAGTGAAAATGTAATTGGGAATACATTGTTTTCTTCGGTTTTCTGATTGTCTCTAAGAATTATCATTAATACTTGTAAATCTTGAAAATAAAACAATCTAATATAAGTTGTTAACAAGAGTACAATGATATTGCAAATATTTATCTTCTTATTTACTGATTTGTTATGGAAGCATCTTTATGTATTATAATAAGTTGCTTATTAGGTGATGAAAATCTATGGCTTTGACCTTAACTGGTTAAATTTGTTCATGGGCTAGTTTGTAACCTCCATTCTAGGAAATGACTCCTTTTTGGAGCTTTCACTAACCCCATTTTCTGTATACAGGGTAAGACACACAGCGTTGAGGAGCTACAAAGTATGTTTTGGGAGATAGCTCGAGGATTTGAGATACCTGAATGGACAAGTTCTCAACAATCCATGTATGGGTGGCAATGTTTTGGTGATATTTTCAATTGCTTTTCTAGAGTGGTTCTTATCTGTGCCTATTGCTTAAATTTGATGTAATTAAAGATTAACACAAATAATTTTTTTTTATATATGCACTATATTATATGACTAATTACACTATGACACGTACATCTTCTCACTAGTGGTAAAGAAAAGAATTTAGCCATGCTGCAATTATGGACGACAATTTTATTGATAATCATGAGTTGGTACGAATGTACACCATCCATTTAAAAACTATTTTTTGAATCAACACCATGGACCTTGACAACACATAAATAAATAATATTGATAATTAGCAAAAAGGAAAATACTATTGTTGTTACGTTGCCTTCATCAACCAAATAAAAATCGAGGTAAGTTCTTATTAGGTAGGAACCATAAGTTATCGAATTTCAGATCAAAGAAGTCTCATGTTCAGAATGTTTGATAGATCAACTTATGGGTCATTATCCATTTGTAACCGTAAGTGAAGTCTATTTATCTTGGATATAGAGACTCTGATGCTAGTGAAAACGTAATTTCTCATTAACTGCATAATTTTTTTCATTATAGGATGTGATATGGATTGAACTAATGTGTCCCTACATCATATATTTCTTTGTAAGAGTATAGAATTGTTCAAAATTTTATCATTGCTCGAAAAATAAAAAACAATAGAATCACTCGGATGTGTACTTAGGATTGATATTCTATAATAACTATGAAGCATGATCCAATTAACAAACGTTGTGACTTGAAAGAGCTATTGCAGTAAATGCTTGAAAAAATTACTAGTTGATGGTGTGATCTCTTGTCATCATAGTAGGGATGGCAAAAAAATTCGTTCAATCCAAAACTCCATGAGGGCCCGTCCCGAACGGAGCGGGGACGGGGCGAGGGTCGTTGTCCCGAAACGGGTACGGGGTGAGTGTGGATCATAATCCTCGCACTACTATCCGTCCCGTTTAAAGTTAACTTTAAATTTAAGTTTTCTATCAAATAAAAATAATAGATTTTTTTTCAAAGAAAACATAAGTTGTTTCTAACAAATTGATAAAAAAAAAAAATAATATTTACTAAGTAATGACATAAAATATATGAAAACAAAAAATAAAATCAATAAAAAATAAATGGAACGATAAATGGGACCGCCCCGTCCCGCCTCGCCTCCATCCCGCCACATCTCGCTTTAAATAGGTATGGGTAAGGGGATGAGACAAGGTAACAAAAATACCCGATAGGACGGGTGAGAATTAGAAACATATATCGACACTAAGTTGCTAAGCAATAAGATAGTCACTTGACTAATAATCATTGGACGATTGCAACATATCTACTATCAATATTATGAATATCTTATTATTGAATTAGCTTGACCGTAGTGTTTCTCACATAAAACAATGACACTGTATATAAATAATAATACCACGGTATGCTAATGATTTATGTGGGCGTTAATCATCTAGTCTTGTATTTTCTTTCGTGAGCGAGTGTGTGATAGCTATCTTCTTTAAAGCTTATGTCGTAGAAGCAGACATCGGTTACTGGCCTTTTATCTGCATAACGAATATAGAATAATTCTAAATTTTATCATTTCTTGCTCAAAGAGGAAGAACACAATAAATCATTCAAAGACGTAGTAGCATTTAAGATTAAAGTTTCATAGTAGTTTTTAATTATTTTTTTTTCCAGTAATTAATTATTTTGTACTAATTATAATTAAATTTATACTTAATTAGCTCAAAAAGTTAATTGTATTAATTAAATTTTTGTTTTGTGACAAAGAGTTGAGCCTAGTTACTGCAATCCTCTCGTGAGGAGGTACCTCTATTTTGAAGTTAGTGAACTATTTGGTTGAGGTTTTAATAGGAATAGCCTTATTTGACTGGCCGATATAGTTTTAGCGTGAAGAGATGCGAAAATTCATTTTTCACCACACTCCCATCTCGTGCTTTAGTAGCTAGTAGTTGAGTTGGTAGGAAGTGATTTGTTTCGTGTAAAGCTCCCGCGGTAGGAACATACCGTCTTTAGAATTCTTGCTTATCCACAAATGTCATTTTCAACTACATGATTCATTCATTAATCAAGTTTGTAAAGCTTTGAACTCTTTCTAAGGTATTGGGAGGGAATGTTGTACCTAATTACCACCCAAATTTATGCATTTAATGAGAATATATTTTTTTCTTTTTCTTCTTTTTTTTATACTAATCAAAGAAAGAAAAGGAATGGATGACTGATGGTACATGACTCGGTACCAGACTTGAATGACTTTGAAAAGTCTTTGCCATTATTTGAAAATCGAGTCTTGGACTTTTTTGGGGCAAAAATAGTTGTGTATGTAAATTGAATCAAGGTTATATAAAGAACTCGTAATTTGATACATGACTTAAAAGATTTTAGTGATGCAAACGTCAATAGTGACGCTTATATGCAATATTGCAATACCCCTTGTACACCTATAGTTTTTATAATCAAACATTGCAAGTGAGAACTAATAATTTCATGAAATCAACAATCCAAAACTACACCAAATAAGATTGAACTTAAACTTGGAATTCAAAACCAAGATGAAAATCATGCATTCACTATCTCTCTGTGATTATGACACACACGTCGAGATGTACTTTTTATAAAAAGTAACTTCTAAACACAATTAAACATGATATTTTTTTCTTCAGTGCCTACGAAGAGCTACAGCAGAAAGCAGAACGAGGAATATAAAAATGACTGATGCAATGAAAGAAGCCACCACTGCACCGCTAACCTGCTGGCAAAAGTCACCATATTGTTGGCAAATTGCAAACCAATTGGTGTTGGAATTCCCATTATGAGCTAAGTATACAATGGCAGCTGAAGATGCTGCTGCAGCTGTCGTAAAAGCCACCAACACCTATATAAAATTGTAGTTTCATTTCAAAAACTGATAAAAAAGGATATTAGGGCACTAAAAAATGTTGCATATAGGTATATTTGGTGAGTTCAACTGGTCCAGTATTGTATATCAAATATACACTATTCTTACGGTGTCAAAGATGAGTAGTAGAAGTCTTGCTCCTGCTGCGTGTGGACGAACTATGCAAACAATGGAGAAAGGCAATGAAAGAACAAGGTATCCACTGGCAATAGCATTTGCAACTACAAAGAACCTGCACATGTAGTATAACATGTTTATCAGCGTACTTGTGCACGTCCTACGCGCTTACAAAATACAAGTGTACAACAAGAGTAATTACGTGAAAGTTGGAAGGTCGTCGTAGCTTGCTTGGAACTGAAAGAACTGCGTGAAGAAAGGAAGAGTTTGATCGGTAGTCCCCATCGTGATTGTGGCAGCTAGAGCAGCCACAAGCGCGCAAATTCTAAGAACAAAGTCAAAGATGGCAACGCCTCTTTTTGTCCCTCCATGTGGGTTTGGAGTTGCCTTTGTGATAACATTGTTAGTTGTAGGAGCCTTTCCTTTAGCAGATTTGGACGCTGCAATGTTGACTGCTGCTTCATCAGTGCTCTTTGTTGAATCCATTGGAACTTTTCAAAGAAGCTTGTGAATACAACTTTTTGTTTTGAAATATGATTGAATGGAACTGGTTGGGCAAATAAATATATAGGCAAGGAAGAGACGGGAGTTAATGGATTAGTTTTCTAGTATAGCATAGTGGGGTGGGTTGGGTTGGGGATGGAGTTGTTGCTAACTTGCTCCATCTTTATAAAGAATAGACTTGACTATAAGACTATATTGAATTATATACAAGGAGGAATAGAGAAAATTGTAGAAAATTTTACAGTTACAAGATATATACAGTTACCGTGAAACCTAATATACAAAACACAAGTATATAATTTTCAAGCCATATCAAATAGATCCGTACAACTTCAAAAAATACAAGTAACTGAAAAGGCTAACTATATCAATAGATCGATACAACTAGAAATATTCAAGTACTTAAAAAGGCTAGCTATATCCAAGCCATTAGTCGTATTGGCAATTCGGTATTCTTAACATTTACAATACAACATATTTACTATCATTGTAAAGTCAGGTAATTAAAATAATTGTTCATTTTAAGACAAGATTCATGGTTCTTAATTCAAACATGAATGTACGAAATAATAATGATGTGTATTTCAGTCACGCTTTAGATATTATCTAAACTTGATATTTAACTAATTTCTACGAGTTTTAGAGCGTTTTAATGTGTATTTTGATATTGTGATATATATTGATTAAATTGAAGGAAATAAACAAAAGTTTGCAAAATTAGAGAATAGTGTTAAATTGTAAGAAATCCAAAGTTCGAGAACTAAAGTGCAATTAGTCAAAAGTTGTGTCTGACTAGGAGTCAATTGGATGAAGAAAGAAGTCAAAGTGATGAAATATAGACAAAATATGATGACACGTCAATTTTCAACCGTAAAAGTTATGCTCTGAATTTCCAGTCACATATTGAGACTCATTTTTGATATAGCAAACATTCGAATTGGAAAATGATATGTAAAACAAAATTGTAGTCCTTTGAGTTATCTTTCTAAAACTTCTTGAATCGCCTCAATCGAACATTGAGAGAAAAAACTATGATAAAAATATTGAAAGACACATCGTTCTGAATTTCCATCCGAAACTTGGCTAGAAAAGGGGTTTTTTTTTTTTTTTTTTTTTTACTCTTTTTAGCCCAACACGACTCCAACCCTTCCAAAACTTCAAAA